GATATTGCAAAGGATGATGAAATCAGATTGTCAATGGAATGTTGTGATTGAAGATCAAGGGATTGAGTTTTTTAAGTCATTGATGGAGATTATGTCTGATGAAATATGTAGCAAGGCTAGTTCATGTGCATTACAAGTCTTGATAGACATACTCGAAAAATCGAAAAAATCAAGATTGAAAGCAATTGAGGCTGGAGCTATGTGTACATTGATTGAGATTCTACCTGATTCAAGCAAATCAAAGAGTGAGAAGATAATGTATTTGATCAAAATGATGTGTGAATGTGCTGATGGAAGAATGGGATTTATTGAACATGGTTTAGGTGTTGCAGCCATAACTAAAAAAATGTTGAACATTTCAAATATTGGCACAAAAATTGGTGTGAAAATAATTTCATTGATTTGCAATTCTCATCCCACTGATAAAGTTTTGGATGATTTGTTGATGTATGGATCAGTCAAAAAACTGGTGGCTTTGTTACATATTGGTGGATCTTCAACAACAAAGGAAAGAGTAATCAAGATATTAAAATTACATGGTGATAAATGGAAGAAAAATCCATGTTTTCCTTATGAGTTAAAAAATTATTTGGGGTTGGAAAGTGATTCTTTGTAAAGTTATGGGGTTCAAAAAGGAAGTAATGTGAAAGTTGAGATACTTGTAAAGAAAAAAAATTTGATGAAATAGAAGAAAATGAATTTGTTAGGTTAATTATGTCCAAAGGGTGTTGAATTAACATTTGAATTTTTTTATTTTTTTTTGTAAATCTTGTTGGGTTTTTGCCAATTAGTTTAACGGTAATTATCACCAATGGTCTTATTTTTTTGATGTAATTTTGATATATTTCATATGGATGTCATTCATGTCTTGGAAGAAACCAATGCTTATAGAAATTTTATTTTGCTTCAATCTTCTGTGTTTATTGGAAGATGAAAAATGAATCTGTGTATTCGTTCATACGTGCGATTTCAAGATGCGTTGAGATTGATAAGATCTATTTTAATAAGAATTCTTAATTTTGAGTCATGAAAATAAAAATATTCTTTATAAAGAGATATAAGTTTGCGTTAGCTAGATTAATGAATACTTATTGTTGATTATTAATTTTTATTTCTTTATAAAAAAAGATATTCTAGCTAAGGAGTCATTTGTTTAGCGATAAAAATAAATTGGTCTCAACATATCCCAAATCTAATGTTAATAATCTTATCGTCCTATAAAAAATTGAGCTCTACATATCCCATCACCCCTCCCCCCTTTCCTCTTTTTTAAAAAGTATCGATCATCTATAAATTATCTATCACGTATCAATTTGATTAGTTTATATTTATATTATACCAGACTCGATAAGAAGAATAATGTTATTGTATAGTAAATGAAAATTTTTGTATAAGTATTTTTTTTGTCTTAAATTGAAAAAGAAAAAGTGGGGTGGGGTTTTGGGGGGGGTTGATTTTAGCATTAATGTTTTTTTCCCCAAAAAGACAAACGGTATTTAATTCGTTTATTTATATTATTTCCTTTACAACAGCATATTCATAATCGTTCTTGAGAGTTGTAATTAAACAAATGAGATTTCACTCTTAGTAAAAATTATCGAATTTATTTGATAGTAGAGTTGGTTGACCAAAAAAAAAGTAAAAAATAAAATAAAATATACATTGCATTTTTAAGTCTAATTTGTAATATCTCGTAAGACGTTAAGACATATAATAATTTAAATTATTTTAGCCAAAGTAAATAATACTAAGTATTATTATTATCATTATTTAATAAACAAAAACGACTTAGTCTCCGTTGAATTTCCTCATTAAATGCTTCATCAGCCAAGCAAATGGCTAATCTCCATTACTTTTGAGGGCCACTTTATTAATTAAAACTTTATAAATTTTGCAATGGATGATTAATGCTTTGACATCGACTATTATATTTATTTCGTTTGTGGTTTGCTTATGTATGAAATTTATAATTATTTCAAATAATGTAATTATTCTGACATTAATTATAAATCTACTTCGCTTTGTAAATTTTTAAATTTCATACATTGTCAAATTGTTCATTATGAAACAAAAAAGAAATGTGGATAAGTGTAAAATTCAATCACAAGACTTTTACTCGTATATCATGATATAAATGAATTGAGTGAATGATTATTTCATCTAAAAATTTAATCAGCTAGAGAACATTTTATTTATTTAATTATATTTTTAATAATTTGATCGTAATCAAAATACATATAATTTTGAATTTTTGCATCGAATATAAGAAAATCATATCAATTGATTTAGTTTTCATCATTAATGGCTTCACAGTTATTGTTTAAAAAAGTCTTAACAAATTTATATTTATTATAAGAAATTGCCAATTAATTTTCCGTTTACCATAATGAATCAGTCTTTATTATATAAAAAAGAAAAATAAAATTTTGATATTTCCTTATTAAATGCTTGGTCATCCATTACTAGTACTAGCTATACATCACTTTGTTATTAATTAAACAAACATTTTGTAATTTTTATGACTACTTAGATCTTAAAACTCTGCATGTAATGTTAATAGCCAAATTAATTCCATTAACGTAATAAAAATTCTAAATCTTATATTTAATATGCTCTCTAGTTCAAGTTTTGATGTGAAGAAAATCTTATTAGAAGCACTATTTTTAAATAAGTTTTTGTAGTCATTACATTAAAAAAAATTATTAACAGTAATTAATTTTAATTATCGTTAAATATATATTTTAAGCGACAATTAATACTTTTTGTATGTGTCCTTTATGCCTTTGGTGACATTAGTTCTAATGACATTTAATTAATGTTGGTAAAGACTTTAACACTCTTTATTAATTTCAATATTCATTATCGCCAAAAATTCTTTTTATTGTAATGAGCGTGTAATCTAAATTTAATCGAAACTCTTATATGAACTCCGAACACCAAAAATAAAACCAATTTATTTAACATAACAATACCTTTTTTGGTCAAAAGAAATATTGTCAACTGTAAGAGTATAATTAACTTCATATTTCGATAACAAGTAATTAAGTTTCAAACAAAAATTAAATTTAGTTTAACTGTTAATCATATTTGAATAATCCCAAATGTCAAATGCAACTAGTTCCTATCAATTTATAATATTATGAAGTTATCCACCTTCGAGCTACAAATATGATCAAATATGACGTATGCATTTGAAAATAAAGACACAACTTATATATATATAATAATAATTTTAAAAAAAATAAAAATAACATCATCATTTAACTTTTCATATTCATCTTTATTTACTTTAAATTTTTTTAATAAGATAAAGTGAGAGAACTGAAGTTGCAGTCTTTATCGTTGCTTTCTATTATTGTTAGAGAATATTAGTATTAAATAGATCCAAGGGGCAACTAATATTCTCTTAGTCTCATTTGATCATATAAAAATAGAATTTAAGAAATATATTAATTTTACTGATTAACCTCCAAGTCAAATTATAATTACTCTTATTGTTGCACCAAGACTTTCATTTAAAAAAATAATAATCAAGTTTCGATGGGTTGTGAATGGCATGAAAAATATCATTTTTTTAAAAAATTTAGAATAGAGAGGGTAGTGAATAGATTGGTTTAACAACTTAATTAACATTTTTTTTACTATATATTTTATATTATATATAGAAAGGAAGTAGTTAATCATGAGCATGCTATGTACTAGTAATTGCAAAGTAAACTCTTCGAAAATGAAATTTCAAATAAAACAACAAAAACGTTATTTCCTATTTTATTTCCCAACAAGTAGTATCAACTATCTCATCATTTTTTATACCAAGTAGTGCAGTAGTTAGGTTGCTCAGCATGACGTTAAATTTGAGTTTTGAATATGAAAAAGCTATTAACAGGAATTATTTTTAAATTTGAAACTGTACGAATTTAAGATAATTAAATATGATGTAATATAGGTAACGAATACTGATGAAAAAGTATCATCATTTTGATAGCTATGCAGGCAGATGAAGATATTTCTAAAATATGTAGGAGTAAATTTTCGTTTTAAAAAATAAGAAAGTGGAACAGAATCTTAGGTCAACCACTGAACAATTTTATAAGATATTTATATTGTAAATATTAACGAAAATTTGACTGATACTGAATATTAAACAAGTGATTTTCTAAAAGTTAGTAACAAATATCATATACAGGATCTAACACAATCGTGATGCAGATTCGATCCGTTAATACTAACTACTATCTCAGATTTATATTATAATAGCGTTTTAAGCTTAAACACATTATTATGAATTTTTCCCTTCTTCATTCGATATAAATAAAATCTTTTGTCCTTTTTACAATTTAAAATAAAATAAATTTCAAATCTCTTATTTATAAATATAAGGATCTCTTATTCAGAGAACATAAAATTAAAAATTCGAATTTGTAAAGGGTTAGAAAAGAAAATCAAATCTATCATTTCTCCCACTCGAGCAAGAGGTGCTTTTTAAAACTAAATTGCACTAAATTTAATAGTATACTCATTTTGAATGTTCTTTTGATTATATAAAAATCTATTAATTTAAATAAGGATAAAAAATTGAAAATAAAAATGAATATATCCTTAATTATGTAAAAAAACAATGAATTTCATATATTTTAGGAATTTTTTTGCAGTGGTTTGGTCAAAGGATGTAACATAAATAAATTTTAAAATAAAGAAAAGGTTGCACTACTGTTGCCGACTTTTGGAAAAATGAAGTAGTCTGCATTTATAGTTTAAAGGTGCAAGAAAATTACAAACTTTTGTTATGTCAGAAAACAACAATACTTAAGAAATTTTTCACATGAACAATTGAACATGACTGAGTGACCACAATTACCTCTGACACAAGGCATTTCCAAGTTGTCTACATCTAGTATTCAAGAAAACACATTTCTTGGTCTTTTAGAACATGCTAGGTGCTAACTTTTCTTGCCATCCTCACTCATAATATGGTTATTGAATAATAAGCAAAGATAAAATAAGAGAGAAAAAAACGCAATCACACCATATTGATTGTTACACTTTTCATCCGATAAATATGAGAATAGGTAACAACTATCCAAACAAGCTAAGGGTTTTCTTTTGGGGGAGGGGGGTGGACCAGGTGGTTCAACTTAACTTATTAATGTTCTCCATGATAAACCAGCAGAAGTAGGCTAAATTTCAAAGCCAAACTTAATGTGATTGATCATATTCATGAATGATACTTTGTAAATAATCAAAAAAAAAAAAAAAAAAACTCGAATTGTATCTCTTTTCCTTTATTAGTCTGATATTTTTCCACACCCCCTTGAGACCCCCAGAAACAGCAAGCTATAATGATTATTGGGCCTTCATAACGATTTACTGAAAAGAGAGCAACATACTGTAGAGTAGTGCAAGATCTTCACAAGTCAATTTTAAAGCTTGGCAATTGCATATGGAGGCAAATTTGATCTTGGAGGCAGCTTTAGGTCTTCCCAGTCTTCGTCATCTATCTTGGAGAAGTAACGGTCAACATCATCATCTCTAATTAGTTCCAGTCTGGAGGGCTCCCACTGAAAACGAGCACAAAAATGAAACAAGCTTTCAATACTTAAGTTCAGGATTATTCATGATCACATGAATGTAAACGCACCTTAGGATTTTTATCCTTGTCGATGAGTAAGGCTCTGCATCCCTGCAGTAAAAGTTAAGTGTCAGTTTTGCAATGCAGTAAGATGGGTGGCTGAAAGATTAGCATATTCTACCTCGAAAAAATCCTTGCTAAATTCTCCCCTCAACACATGACAAACCATTCTATACTCTCGAACAAGGCAACTACCAACACCTTGCAGCCTCCCTTCTCTTATCTGGAACAGAAAAAATGAAACTAATATCAACAATCTGCAGATACACAAGGACTCCCCAATGAAAATATTTGGCTAAATCAAGGCGATAGGACTGTAGAAAGAGATTTTTAAGACGTGATTGTGGAGAAAGAGACCATGATATATTTAATTTGAAGGACTTGCAACACAACAATACTAATCTACTATCATATTTCAAAATCCAAAATAAATAATAGCTTAATCCCAACTGTAAAATCCAAATGATCTTTCCGAGGTAACAGTTCAAAAACTAACACTGAGGCACAAAGGCTGGGAGGAGGGGTTTTTAGTAAGTTGTACAAATTAGCTAGTAGTAAAAGCAAGCAAGCAACAGTTTTCTTGATAATTTAGAACTTCTAATTCAATTGGGCAGAAATGGTGCGGTAAAAAGATGTATCATTAACAATCTATAAGTGGAGGGAGCTCTTGACCTGATCATAACCAAACAACTGTTTCGACCAACTTCTCCAGAAGCATATATAAAACAAAGAATTTTTCACATTGGTCATTCTTCGTCAATTTCATTTTAATCACAAAAATTTAGTACCATGAATTGACACCTGATAACTGTTCAAAAGTATTTTAACTTAACAAAGCAAGAAGCATGCCGACACTCAAGGAAATAATATTAAAGTAGCTCATTCGTATCTCCATTAAAACACGGCAAAAACTAAATGGTTCCATTTTGAATTTCTCTTAGTTCTAGAAATACAGATTGCTCATGTCTTTCGTATGAATGACCATACACAAATAAATATTAGGAAGTTCTGTAGAAAAATAACTTAAGTTTATTTCAGTTTGGAATCACATTTTCCAGATCATGTAGCTAGGAACACGTTTCACATCTATGAGGTACTCAATTGAACAGAAACAATAAAGAAGCTAAACTTACTTTCTTTCTTTTACTGAGGAAATTGAAAGACTTCATTACTTTTGAGGACTCCAGGAAAATGAGCACTTTTTGGTACCAAGGCAAATGAAGTGGAGTTCATAACTTGTAGTCGAAGGCTATGTTGCTTGGACTCTTCAAAAATATCAAGGGGTGCGTGTCAGATTCTCCAAAAACACGCATTCACCAAAAGTAGTGTCTTTTTGGAGAATTCAACACGGGTGCGGTATCGAAAGTGAAGAGTCCGTGCAAATAAGGTTGAAGGAGGAGTATTTGATCTTTAACCAGTTTTGCCCAACATATAAGATACAAAACTATTCCAGAGTCTAAACTGTGTCTTCCAAAACATATGGCCAGTACTGATCCTAGGCACTATATATTTGTATAGGTAACAACATAATGGTATCACCAAGTAGAGTTTGACTTACAGATCTCAATGAAATTTTAAGACTCGTTGGGGATGCTTTTTTCAGCGATTGGATGGCTGAAGAGATCCAGTCATCCTTCTTGTTCAAAGCCTCATTTTCCTGTTGATGATTCATGCAGCGATCACATCAAGTATTCTGATAACTTATTTATCAACATTTTATAAAGTAATTGCACCACAGAACAAAAGAATGCATCAAATAACCATTCATCTCTTAAACTTACTAGAGAAGATATGATTTCTTCGATTGTTCTTCGAGAGAAACAGCGATCAATAATCTTCATCCTACATACATAAAATTGGAGAACTGAAACAGGTGCACATAGTCTTGCACTTCTAATGGCCATATAAAGTAGAGTAAACATAGTTTTGCAACAACAGGAAGAAAAGTAACACAAAAGCAAAATAACTAATAAGAAAGAGCACAAATGATTTCTGTTATATACCATTAATACCATGCTCTTTAATAAGTTTTAAAGAAAACCCATGGATATTAAATGAACTCACTTGTGATAAGGACTTTCTGCTTTCAACTTTGGCATGTCTGAGAAGCGACTAATGATGGTAGAAATAACATATGGATCACTCGTATTGACTTTAGCTAGCGCTTGTTCTAAAAATGGCAACCTCTGTGAACACAAAGAAGATCCGAAAGCATTCAAATTAGATAAGAGACAGGAGAGTGTTATGCCACCTGACTGGAGATGTATATCAAGATCTCCAAACTGATTAATCATGATGCCAAATATTCATGTAAAAAAAATACAAACTTCAGTATAAAAAAAAATCAGGAAAGGTTCCAGAAATCCATAATCTAGCATATAAGGCGACCAGAGGCTAAAGGAAAATCCCACAAATTCATTTAAGAGCCATCGCAAAAGGGTTGATAAATCCAGATTCGAAACACACCTGATTAACTTGGGCACTGTTTGACAAGGTAATTAGAAGACCCGAATAATTTTTCTCCAAATATTTTGAATCCATATATTTCGGTACCCAATCCGACACAAGGAATTTAATATTTACATACTGTACTCTGCATGATACATCTGTAAAGCTCTACTACTTATTAGTTGAGAAAGAAACAATGAGAGACTAATCTATAGGCACCAAGTCATTGAACCTGCTGACGCCACACAGAAACTAAGTAGAACAATTTGTAGTTTACATCCTGGCCCACTGGAGGTCTAGTATTGACCACAGTCCTTCAGAAACCTTATTTATCCAGACTACATTTGGACCAAAGTGGACGCCCAAATGTGAGAAACACGGTCAAAATTGGCAGAAAATAGACTTTCTTTTTTGGATAGGTGGGGGAAATTAAAATTCCTAAGAGAACCAATGAAAAGGCAATGAGAATTGAGACCTATATAACAAATGAAGATTACCATCACACCATATGCATAATATCTTCCGCAGTCGGTGAACTGGCAATTAGTTATTACATTACATGTCTGCCAATATCAATTTTGCCATTTTATAGACCATTCAGTTTGGACATTTAGTAACAGAAGTCCTACAACATCTGTTATAGAAGTAATTCAAAATGGCCAGAAAGTGCTGGATACCTCCGAGGGTACAAAATGAGTTGCTAGACCACAAGCAAGCATTTCAGCACCATCCAACCTAGCACCAGTAAGACCAGCATATTCCCCTGCCAAAGATTATAAGAACGTAGTTGAGGGAAAAAAGACAGTTATTTAACTATTTGTACCGAAAAATTTATCCACGCATCATAACACCACAGGAATTAGTCTTCCCCAACGAAAGACCACGGCAAAAAAAATTGAATCACATTCTTCAAGCATCCTTGTAGAAGAAGATGCCTTGCATGTATTCAAAGGCTATTTTACATTTCTAATGACAAAGAATTCAGTAATGACCATGAAAACTAAGGCCTAATACTGATGGCCTGAACAAATTCAGCAATCACTGTGAAAACCAAGGCCAACATCAGGCAAATATCCCACAGAAGTTGTAGGGAAAAAATATAAGAGATATCCTAAAAAGCTTTGACCTAGATCTAATCATATTACGAGTGTGAAATATTATTTGAAATGAGAAAAGCTCGAGATCAAGAATGCAAACAGTGGAAATTAGATATAAAACGTAGAAAAATTTCAGAAACTTTTAGAGAAGATGCACCAAAGGAACACAATGGCTGCTGCTTTGCCACAGGGGAATGTATACAAAGTTTTTGTCCACCTTCTGAAGGAGGAGGAACCAATCTTCCTTTGTCAACTCTTTACACTTCTGGTTTTAAAGGTATTGGAAAGAAGCAGCATTAAAAGCAAAGTAGCTGGGGGTGATTATAGTTCTCAAGATAGACTCCAACTAGCCAAGCTTGAGCAACCAGGTAGTGACATAAATTCAGACACTGACAACAAGTGATAACGCCATGATGAAACTTGAATGAACTTTATCTAGCAGTATGTTTTTTATTAATCTGAACTTTGTTATAAGTGGATTTACCAAAGAATCCTGGAAGCCTCGAATAGAAGTAAGAGGCACCTACATCAGGAAAGAGTCCTAAAGCTGTTTCAGGCATAGCACAAACCTACAGGAAAAAAGAACATGAGAATATGCGGACATGAAGTTTCTGATACCAGTTTATACATAGCAAACACCAACCAAGTTTGAAAGAGTGTAAGTATTACGCAAAGATAAACATAAACTCTGAATTCAATCCCATATTTACCAACTAAAACTCATGCAGAAATAGAGTCTGTAAGGTTTTCCTCTAATTTTTCTGAAACTATTCCACATGAATGTCAGGTATTGTTCATTCCGCAAGAAAGCCCCACAAAATATAGGGACACATTTCAAGCAAATGTCAATTAATGTGGGAAAGGTCAAATACAAAAGGAAAGCAAGATTGAAGAACTGAATCTATTACTCAAGAAGATGCAATACCGACTTCTCTGTTGCAACTCGAAATCTCCCATGTACAGAAGCACCAAGACCACCTCCCATGACAATTCCATTAAGGATAGAAACCTTCAAGGGGCATTCCAAATAAGATTAATGAATTCCTCACGGAATTGTATCAGAATACTAAAATTATACATAACCTAAGTTGACCTGGGGTTTACTATATGTTGCCATCAAATAGTTAAGGGTGAATTCTTCACGGAAATAATCAGCACCCAGTTTCCAGTTACCTGAAAACATAAATAACAACAACAAAAAGAACAGATTAAATATGTGCAAACTTTTTCAGTGTGTCACCATTCGACACGCATATCCTAGATGTGATTTAAGACTGTTCTGTAATGGCTATACTTCCACGTGCACTACTTTCTCTGTCTGTTCTGTTTCTTCTACAAATTAGCAGTGTAAGACTGTAAGCTTTCAAAAGATGGTCAATTCAAGAAGGGGGAATACTGTCAGTATATAATACAGTACGACAAGACTTGTCATACCACCTTGGAGAATAATCCATCATATCCCATAAATACTGTTGAGTGTTCGGCATTTAACTGGAGGACAATTATTTACTAGTTAAGATCTAATAGTTATTGTATCCTACATAGCTTCAGGCTTCTATATAAAGAGCCACTTTGGTACATTGTTGAACATCAGTACAGAAGCATTCCTTCTTGTGCATAGGGTGCCAAAATCAGAGCCAAGGAGAAAAAATATAGAAGTTCAGATCATTTTGGTATCAGAAAAGTTTTTTCCCATTAAAGTTAGTGAAGTGTTCACTTGGTGCCTCAATAGATGAGTTGATTAAGTCATCAAATTAGTCAACTGATTCAAAAGTAGCTCCATATCAACGAGACAAACACATAAGTCAAAAATCAGAACCTATGTCAGACACACTTTGAGCGCCACCGCAAACAATTACTCACTAGTGTGGAAGCCCACACATCAGACTTTATCCAGTCTGTTCCATGCCAACACCATGTTATCTTCCAAGACAAGTCTAGTCAATTGCTATGCCAATAATTTAGTCACGCCTATCGCATAAGTTCAAGCAGCAGTATAAACATGCAATGTCACCGCACATGTCCATATCTTTCAGTTGTGGTTTCTAGAGTTGTATATGACACAATCCACAAATTCAAGGTGGTCAAGTATTTGCTATTATCTCTGTTGCACATTCCAACAACTATTACTTGTCTAACTCACTCTTTGATTTTTATACCCTCAATCCTTGATTGAAGAGTCAGTAGGAAAAATCTTAACATATTATGGAAGAAAATATTCACCTTCATGGATCCAGTTAAAAAAAATCATCTATAAATACTGAAGATTGTCTTTACCAAGCTATGAAAAATTTAGCAGACATCCCACCTTGGCGAACATTACGAACAACAGCTGTAACGTCACCACCAGCACAGAAAGACCTTCCATTTCCCTGGAAATATTGAAACAAGAAAAGGGAGTAACATTCCATGACTGATGTTAAGATATTTTTTACTGGTAGAAGGTCACATGTAGAACTGTGAAACCTACCAGCAAAGCTTGTGAAAGAGAATTAAACCATAAAATCAATACAAGAAGTGAAACCAATACTTTTCCTTTCAGCTGTTCTACTAATTAATTAAGGGTATCAAATAAGCTTCTTAAGCTGATTTTAGATCTTATTTCACTCAAGCTCCAAAGATTTACAAGCAAAACTAACTACTTAATTCTTTCACTCAACTCTCTGATGTCAATCAGTGATTTAAGCATGTCTCCGTGTCAACCGAACATTAAGGGCTAATTGGAGGTTAAAAGTCTCCCTTCTCTCTAGACTTTTTCTTTGGGGGTCAGTAAAGGGTAACATTATTGATTTCCAGCACCAAGAAAAATGTTGTGAGGTATTCCTCAAGATCTTTTTTCAAACAAAAACATCCATGTGACCAACTTTCAGCAATCTGGATTATTACTACCAAGTAACATAATCCTAGCATATGGTGAAGAGAAGGTAGGTAGCATTGAACGTTACCTTTCTCAAAAAAAAAAGGTAGGTAGCATTGAATACTAGATTGATCAGAAATGGAAACTGTGAGATATACAGAGAGGCACTTTGTCAGCTTTATTTCAGAGGGGCAATATAACCTGAGCCATGCAGATGAGCTTTCTTCACTGTGTCAAGAGAAGAGTCCCCGGAAACAGGCTGAAGTTCATTGAAACCTGCTAAGTTAGATACTTACACGGAGTGGGTCCCATTGATACCAAATATAAAACAGCATACATCACTCTTTGGCTAGCCCTCAAGTGTTATTAGTGCCCTCTAGGAGGCTTTATAGTTTTTGATTGGGTGTAGCCAAAATACCATTCGCTTTTTCTTTTTGAAACTGCCAGAATACCATTTTCTTTAATAAGGTCAACCAGAAAAATACCTTGTACTTTCATAAGGTTAACCAGAATACCATTAGCCTCCCCCCAACCCAACCTCCTCTGACAAATATGATATTCTTATTTCCATTAACTCCCGACTCAATGAATCTTCCAGCACAAGTTACAATGATCAAGAACTAAGAGAAACACAATCACAGATTGATGCGTTACGAAATTCAATGAAGAAACAAAATATGAGAGTTCACAATTTGAACAGCGCAACTCAAAAATCAATGCAAACTGCCTGCCAGCAGGTATCAGTTGTTTGTAAAAAAAACTATATGAAAAACAGAAGATAACCACCGTTAAGCTATCAAGGTGAGTTCAATATCACAGAAGATCCTCCACCAGTGAGAATACCTTCAATATTATCATCTTCACATTTGAATCGCCTTCACTGGCATGGAAAAGTTCCAACAGCCGAGATATCTGCATATATAAATAAGTTCAAGAGGACACTCCTCACTTATAACACGTCTTCACACTTCAATCCATTTCATCAGGTGATCAGCAATTTACATCAATATAACACGAATATTGCATGATTTAGAATACTAAATGCTCACCAACTTAATATAATTAACCTCTTCTGGATGATTGCATGAGAAGATAGAATAACACAAATCCATATCAAATTAGTCTTTTTAGCAACCAACATAAAGGAGCAAAGCCAGGCCATCAAAAAATTCACATTCTCCAGTATTTAACAAAAGTCATGACAGTACTTGATATCCAATATTTCCAAGGAAAAGGTGCCAGGCTAGGCCTTTTACTATCATAAAGGCGAGGTGCAAGTCGTAAGACATAGAGCACAAGTCCTTGAACCTTTTGTATCTACGTATATTTCCCGTAACAAAATGCTATTTTTAGATCGCAGGAGCGGTGAAATTAACAACAATACGAAGTAAGTACACATTAAAGAAAATAAAATTTTAGGAGACAAATTTATTCTCTGTCTTGAGGAAGATCAAAAATAGCAACAATAAATTCTGTATCTAAAGAATTTGACCTTTTTGTTTTCTGATCCATTCTTATTTTATGGAAGGTAGAGGCTGCGGAGAAGTCCTTGCAGAAGCGGACTCCTCCAGCTTCCTCAGACTCCATTGAAAAGCGATTCCAGACAGCAAGCAGGAACGACTCCCCCAACAAGATGACTCATTATGCATGGCAGTTGAACATAGTCTCAATAAAGAACAATTATCCACTTCACGGAATAGGAGATAGTAGTATATTTTCACAAAAAAATGTAGTATCTAATAACGAATTTTTGGTTATACTCAAATTTTTTTACAACTCTACTTTGATATACTGGAAAAGTGATCATGAAAGGAATCAACTCAAATCTTGATTTTTCTTTCCTTTTACCATTAATTAAGGTGCGAAAGGCGAGCATGGATGCCTATTCCTAGCTAATGTTCATGGGATGTCCAAGCTGAAGCCAAAAATTTGAGCTTTCCTTGGAAGCACTAAGGGAAATTCACCGTTCCTCCAAACTTAAAGTGCACCCCACATGCCTCATCAACCTTCAACAGTAGCTAGTACTCTATATACTCCAAAGAATAACCATAGGTTTAGAACTATTCATGCATGATAAATTAAAAATCAGTTTAGCAAAGGAATTTCCAGTTCAACATAGATAAAGCCAAAAATAAGTTACGAATTTCACGGACACACATGGAGCAAAATGACTTAGAGGAAGGGGAGGAAACCAGAATATAAATAGAGATGAACACATAGTTGGAATATATCACCGGTTAACAAAAAGAGTAAGGACATTCTGAGTAGAGCATTATCATATACAGATACAGTACAGTGACATACAGAATGAAATATAACAAAGAGTTCACAAAAGTAAATTGATGTTCTTTTTTAAATTTTTCTACAATAGATGTTTGGACCAAATTGCGCACACCTCGACTATTCCAAGTAAACTGATGTTCATTCTGCTAGTGAACTTATAATGAATAGTGTGAAACACTTGAAATTACTTACTTGAGTTCCATAATTGTCATCAAGAAACTATGTCAGGAAAGCAACACATTAACAAAGAAACTCGGTGCCAATCACACATTAATTAAGAAACTAAGACAACCAAAACTACAATAGCATCACACTCAACCACAAATTAGTTAGGATCTTACATAATGAAAAGACAATCATTATAATTTTTTAAAAGAAACACCAACAATAGACAAATAAGATATTTGAGAACAGTGATACATGTTATGCGTCTTTATAAATGAGTCCATACAACATATAACACTTATTACAGGAATCCTTCCCCTAATCTCTACTATGGATAGTTACATTACAAAATTCAAGTAGATAACAATATGCAAAGGCAGAAAATAATGAAAATCATCCAAAATTTGGGGCTTTATGACAAGAACAAAAATGAAAAATATATTACTTGTAATATGATAAGTTGTCATACCATTGGAAAAGAAAGTGCATTCAACTGCTTAGGCCTATTTAATATGATTGTTCTTACACTTGCTCTCTCCTCCACCAAAACCTGGGGAAAAAAATATTCATGAACAAACATCGATCACCTAAAATAACTTAGTTCCTGCAAACAGGTTGCAATTTAGAGAGGCAAAAGGAAAAAATAGATTTGGCAAAATGAAAATCATCAAATAATTGATTAGTATAACAAGTGTAAGAGTATAAGTTGAGTTACGAGAGAAGAATAAGAGTGCACCTGATCGGTTCCGCCATTGTTAGAAGAGCTTTGAGCCATGGTGGTTTTCAGCTTTTTGGGGAATTTGAACACTGACTAGCAAATTTATTGCTGCAGCGACGGGGCTAATTTCGTCCATTTACTGACGACCCGCCCGTTTGGATTGACTCGGATCCTTCTTCTATCCATTTTTTCACAAAATCTTGTTGATATAAATTAATTTAATGATTAAGATTTACTAATCAAACCAAATAATTATACGTTATATATTTGATACTAATAGTTATTTTAATTTCACAATTTTAGTAATATATTATCTCCTTCATGAATTAAAAAGAAAAAAATCTCTTTCTTAATTTTTCCCATGATCCATCTTTTAGTTTCTTTTTAAATAAACATTTTATTGCATTCTTTCGAATTTTCTTTAATAGTAATTTATTACATTTTAATATAAAGAAGTCGACTTAATGAAGCTCTTGTTTATGATTTCCTTGAACTATATGGTTCTTTTTATTTTATTTTTCGTACAATCATATTTTGTCACTTAATTTATCGTTTTCGTATGATTTTTATTTTTAAAAGAAAATCATAAATATGATAATTAAATTATTAATGAGTACTAATTAATAACGGATAGGTAAGACTTATTGAAATTGGATACCTGCACCTAGCGTTTACATTAAATCAATACATACATGTCATGTGTTTATTTTACTTTTTTAAATTATATACTAATTTTTTTGAATTGGCTTGATATAAACGTCGAATATTAACTTTTTTTTATATATAAAAATAAGACAAATGGATAATCCTTAAAATCAAACTACTGATAATCAATATCACTTAAAAGTCTTAAATAGTAAATTTTGTTATTATATAAAAATAAAAATCTTTAAACAAGGGGAGATTCCATTTCATCATCCTGCCAGTTTCTTGTCAAAACCCAATTTGGAATCCTGTGAAAGTGTTGTGTGCTGCTAATTAATCTGAAAATTTGCAGAAAAATGGGATCAGTGTTTGATGAAAAAGATTTCTTGGCATGCTGTGGGAGCACCAAATTCGCAAAGGAAATGGTAGCAGCTGGCCCCTTTTCTACTCATCAAGATGCCATCCATGTTGCCAGAAATATCTGGTTCAACAAGGTAATTTGATCAGTACCCAATTGTTTTTACCCTTTCAGTTTTACAGATGTTGATTTATTGATCCTTGTCAGGTTGATGTTAATGGATGGCTTGAAGCTTTTGCTGCTCATCCACAAATTGGTCAAAACCCTTCTCGGGATCACAAAAGCCCTACTTTTGCCCAGTACAATTCTCTCTCTACCTATTTTCGTTAATTGTGTGGAAGTTTTAGGTTTTTTGATTTTGGACAATGAATTGCTTATGCCCAGTATTTGTTTTTAGAACTTTTTGCTTTTAACAGTTTGATTAAATTTTGCTACTTTTTTGGCAAGAAGGTAAGCTGTGGTCATGATAAAGTTGGTGTTTTTTTTTGGTTTTTGAAGTTCAAATGTTGGCTTGCTGGTGTTAGGTATGAAAAGACAAATGTCATAGTTGTTAATGCATAACATTGTAGTATAGAGACATTCAAAGTGTCTAAGATATAGGTAAGAAATTCAAGAATTCTGAATACGGATTTCAGTATATTTAAAGTTGTGCTTGAGGCTATGTACAACTAGAATTTAAAATCTTGAAATTACATTGTTGCATGGATTATCACAAGAAAATTGAATAAATAGTGCTATCGTGGCTTCTTTTGGGCAATCTTCAAGTTCTTTTATATGTGCTATTTGGAATTTCTGTTAGATGTGATAGTTTTTATATCTTGTCTACTCTTGTATAGCTGCACTTCGATTTTAAGATTTGTATCTCTGTGCTGTATGTTTGCATTAGAGGCCCAACATTCACAACCAAAAAGATTGGTAGATTAATGTGCTTTGAGAGAACTTTTTAGTGCTGTTGTTCTATCCTGTGGCTCCCCTATCTCCACCCTCTCGCCCTCAGACCTAAAAGGTTTACATATCTTCTCTCAGTTATATGCTAATGCTTTGTCAGACCGGAAGGTAAACTTTAATGTCTCCTCTTGCAGGTGGAGCAAGGGAGAGCAGTCAACAGCTCTGTCCACTGCTACTGAGTTGACGTTACAGGTATCTTGATCTAAGGATTATGCACTTAAGAAATCTATAAATCAAATGCAAAAAATAGTATTTTGACCCTTTTCGTTTGTTGATTGGGCCAATTGATTAAATTCCGTGTACAAGTAGGCCAACTTTTTACTTTGTGTATTCAACGTTGAGAGTTTGTTTGATAATTGATCTTGCAGGAACTGCTCGAGTGGAATGCTCGCTATAGGGAGAAGTTTGGCTTTGTCTTCTTGATATGTGCTTCAGGGAGAAGTACCCCTGAGATACTTGCAGAGTTGAAGGTAAAGTCTTTCTGTTTGAAAGTACAATGATCCTATATCTTTTAAGTAACCTCAGCTATAATTGGGCATATTATAGTCTTATATTTCGAGAGTAAATACTTTTAACTTTGGGGAACGTTTCATTTGAGTTCCAAAAATTCCATTGGAGTATTTAGAGCAATTGCTCACTCTTATATTCCAGTCCCCCTGATGTCAAGAGTCAAGACAGACTTTAGCTGTATTTAATGAACCTTCTCTCTCAAGTCTAATATCTTGCATCCTTTCAACATCTTTTAGAAACCATTAAAGTTTGATCCCTTGTTGGCTCACAGTTCATTGAGATATAGAAAAGGACTACAATTGATGTGAGAATGCAAATCTGTTCTCTGCCTTCTTGAATCATAAAGGGGTGATCTTTGTAAGTCAATCGTGAGCTGTAGGAAAAGATAGTGGAAAATCTGAATAAAATTCTCCATCTAATTCTAATAGGCCAAATTTGTTAAGGTTATGCGGTTGAATGTGCACCAATACATTTACCATTAACTTAAATCCCCTTTCTGCTGCTATCTTGGCCTCATAAACTTTTACCGTGTGATAAACCTGACTTGTGTAAAGCTCCACCTTGCAATGTCCATTGAAATAGAAATTGCTCCTCATATCTCTGTTTGTTAGGATACTCTGACGGGAATCTTATGGCAGTTCAGTTGTTGAGCAGACTATGGGTCCATTCGTGATCTTTTTTGATAATATACGTGAACAAATAATAACTATAGTCCAACCATTTCTTGAATGTCATTGTAGGATTTGTATTCATTAGACTGTCCATCCCCCCCCCCCCCACCACCACCACTGAATGAATGTTATTTTTCCATGAGGACATCTTTTAACCTTCGCTCTTCCTAACTGGATAAGAGCTATATTCTCTAATGGTCTTCAATCACTGTTCTTCACATTTTTAGAGATCAGGAAGTACCTCACATAGCCTTCTTTCCAAACAACAGACTATTTGTATTACTTTATCTACCGGGACAGTGGTGAAATAAACTTGTTTTCTGTTTTTTCACTTAAAGATTGACCGACATGCCGTTTCAACTTTACCTTTGTAGATTCGATACCAGAACAGACCAATAATTGAGTTTGAGATTGCAGCCCAGGAGCAAATGAAAATAACTGAATTACGCCTTTCCAAGCTCTTCTCAGACAAAGCAGATACTGCTCCGGCAATTAAACCCTTGTCTACAACTAATATTGCGACAAAAGCAGAAGGTGATTCCATCTTTTTATTTATCTTGAACATTTATTAGCTTTGTTTGTTTTTCTGTTTTTATGCAATTCATTGTTTTAATCTCAAAATAAGTTTGAGAAGTTGCTCCTCATTCTCCACTATACTGATTTTGCTTTACAGTAGTTGTGTAGAAATTCTTTCAACACTTCGATACAAAAGACGACTTTTGAGAGTCACATAGCCCCTTGACCTTTTTTTCTCAAAAAAGACAGTGATGCTAACTATTTCTAAAATCCAACAAATATTTGATGTATCTGAAATTATAAGCTCTATCTGCAGTTCAGTACTATATCTTATATTTTTCATTGATCCTTAAATTGTAGAAGATCGTGTGAACATTATTGGAGCACATTTGACTGCTTCTTCTGGAGCTGCTCGAGCAAAACCAGCTCTTATTCCAAATAGAACTCGCCCGCCCATCACAACCCATGTTCTGGACACTAGCCGTGGATATCCAGCGAATGGCATTGAAGTACGACTGGAGATGTGGAAAGACAACCAAGCAAGACCACAATTTGGCAAAACTTATATTGATGGCTGGATATTACTAGGGTCTTCAGCAACGGACAAAGATGGCCGAAGTGGTCAGTTGATGAATATGGTTGAAGCTTTGGTCCCAGGTATATACAGGATAAGTTTCAACACCGGTAAGTATAATCCTGATGGATTTTTCCCTTATGTCTCTATTGTGTTTGAGATCAAAGAATCGCAGAAATGGGATCATTTTCATGTTCCTCTGCTGCTTTCACCATTCTCACTCTCGACCTATCGAGGTAGCTAGATTGGTCAAGTGGCTGGTGAGAGTTGAATATTTTCACAAGGAATAATACTGTACTATTATTTGGTGGAATGAATCACTTACCCTTTGCTTTGTCTTGAAATGTATTTCTTCCATCAGTTTCTATTTCAATATTAAGCTTGACATAGTCAATTATATTGCAAATACTACTAAGATTTCTTATCTTCCCAAAAGGCTTTAAAAAATAACAAACAAATTTTTACCAAATTATAATAACAAGTTCTAAATGCATTGTACTTTGGGCTGCTTCTGTGAGCTTATTACCTCATTTAAAACTCTTTAAACCAGGTTTACATAATTTGTTGTTACTTCAAGAATGTGGCAACGTAATGTAGACCACTCCAATAAAAATTGAAAACACCCTTGACCCTGGCGCAAATTATCAGATTCGTCTCCTTTGAAAGAAGTTTTGTGAACGCTCTTAAATTTGGCAAGAATTTAGAGGTGTATTTGACTCATGTTATCAAAACAAGGGTGTATTAAAAGTTCAGTTATTCAAGAGAAAATGTGTGTTTAAGGCTGTCAATAGTTTGGTAATGAATTTAATAATTCACACCAAATTTAGAGATGTTTTCAAATACTTCCCTCATAAAAACATAAAGTATCGTTTGCCGAAAGAAATTATTATATTGTTCTTCTTTTCCAATCTATTTATGGTTCTTTAAGTTCTTCTTTTCCAATTTTAGAACTCTTTGAGCCTAATTTCCATAAACCTCGAGGCAATCATATGAATAAGGAACAATTAGCATGTATTTTTTCTACTTCATATAAGGTTTTTTTCCTTCCCCTTGTTTAGTTTTGCTCTTGGAAGTTATTTTCAATAAATCTTGAAAAATAAGGAAAATTACGTTTTTTTTTCTTTCATAACCAAAAAAAGGAGAATGATTCATAATTAATAAGTAAATGTACTAAATAAATCCTCCCTACTTCCCTACCTTTTTTTTTCAAAATTCTTTTCATGAATAAGTGACAGATGACACCTATAAATAAAGGTCTAGGTACATTCGACTCTCATTGCACCAGTTACACAACATATACTTTTTCTTCTTAGTAAAAATTTGATATGTCGAATCCTGGAAATAATATTACTAATATTACCTACCAAGATGAAAATCATCAAGCTTCGGATGCTAATAAATTGTTTCACCACTTAACTCCATACCTTAAAGGGATTAGTATTGCTATTATCATATTAATAGTGGGTTTTGTTATTATTACTTGGATCCACGAGGACCGCAAAAAGAAAAATTCTGAGGCAAATAATAATAATAATAATGATAATAATAATAATAATAATAATGAGTCCGATGACAAATCGCAAGTCTGAAGAAAGAAGATGCATGCATTCACAACTCGACTACAACAATTGCTTCTCAGTCTCAAATAAGTTTGAGTTTGCTAAAAAAAATTATTACTTAGATGATCTTTTAATTTTTATATTTGTTTCTTATAGTAGTTTGCTTGGAGAGAGCAGTAGAAATTACTTGTAATTAGAGTTTGTTTACTTTTCAAGTTTATTTATGGAATTTTAATGACTTTATGATTTTTATTACCCTTATATGTAATATACTATGAATTATGAGTTTTTTTTTTCACATAATCATTTAACTAATAATTATTATTATTTTCAAACACAAAATTTGTGGTCTGCTTTGTAAACAACTCAAATCATCGACAATTCATCCTAATATTTTTTTTGTACATGTTAGTATCTAATTAATTCAATCATTATCTTGTTCATTTTAATGCTTCGTGAGACATCACTTATTATTATTGTTAATTAATGGGAGAGATAATTATCATGAATTTAAGTTTTTATTTGTTGAGGGTGATTTTTTCTTTTTTTACAAACTCTGCAATTTAATTTTGATTTTATTATAATAGGTATCCATCTTGCTAAACACAAAATCTTAATTTGGTGAAAGTATTTTTTTAAAAAAAAATAATTAAAAAATCAATTAGTCAAATTCAAACCCCCAACTTACCATTGGTTTAAGACAAAGACCCGTTCAAATAGAAGCAAAAACTCAAAACAAATTTGGATTAATTTGTGACCATTTGTATTGAGAAAAACAAGATCTCTTTTAACGGAATAGGAAGAATAGTTTGTGACCATTGTCTAATTATTATAGTTACAAACAAACCTATAAATATTTTTATTCCAAAATCAAAATTCAAAGCTATTTAAAGTGTATATAATTTTTATATAATTAATTAGTCCTTTGTGAAGTATTTTAGAAAACAAAAATGCAGGCTATCAAGGACAAGTTTAATGATATGAGCGCAATGCGCAAGGCAAAAGCTGAAGCTAAAGAGGAGGAAAAAGTAAGAATCATATCATACAAAAATATTTTAAGGTTAAAAAGGGAAAAGGATCTGAAAAATGTTTAACTTTGAATTTTTGTTACGATAACAAACTTATCCCTGCACTTTTTAAAAGTATAAATTAAAGGTATATATGTGCTCACGTGGATCCATTACTATTTATGATGTCCACGTGACACATATATTCCTTTAAAATACACTATTAAATAGTGCAAAGATAAAAAGTTCTCCATAAAATTTGGTATGATAACAACAATTTCAATCAAAGTTTCAATATATTTGTGTTAAAAAATTAAAGACAGTTACAAGTAGCACACCATATATAGTGGTTTTTGTCATATTTTTGAAAAGCAAAAAAAGTAGTAATTTTTCCAAAGAAATACTTTAGAAACCTTGATCTAATAAAAATTATTAATATTGTAATATTAGTAGAAAAGTATTATTGAAATTAGCTAGCTAGATGCAATTTTGATAATCAATATATGATAAAGGCTAATTTTTGTATCGGCTAATTTCTTATTTTTTTTAGATATAGTTCAAAGCCTAATAAATTACTAAAGGGGTTATATGGACATATTGAGCCATAAAATGTTTAAGAAATTTTCACGGTTCAAAATATGAAAAAGTAATACATGAAAAGGTTAATGCGCGTTTAATATCTATTTATATTACTTTGACTCTTTAAAAATATTGAGCCATATAATGTTTAAGAAATTTTCACGGTTCAAAATATGGAAAAGTAATACATGAAAAGGTTAATGCGCGTTTAATATCTACCTATATTACTTCGACTTTTTAAAAATATTGTATGAGCAATATAAACGTCCATTATATATGCACAACATAAAATAAAATTTAATCATATATAAACAATGTAATTTTTCATGAGGAGAATTCATTCGACCCTACCTATCAATTAGTATAAACTAATTTGTATAGCCTGGATTTGAAAAAATCACACATTCAACTATACACACTCTTATAGACTAAACTAATGATAATTATAACAAATTCAATTTATATTATTAGTATATATAACTTATATCGAAAAATGATAATATATAGGCAGAGAAGGAGTTGGCAAAGACAAGAGTAGAAGTAGCACGTGAAGTAAGATTGGCAAGAGAGGCAGAAGCAGCCATGGATTTACATGTCCACAAAGCAGCAGAGAAGATTGCAAATGAAGAACAAAAGTATGTTCATGATCAACCAGAAGGAGGAACCTTAGACCCTCATGCTTCTAGCTTCACCAACCCTAACCTCAATAATGCTGGTACAGGACCAACAAACAATCTACTTTAGAACCTTTTTTTTTTAACGGCGAAGCCAGAAATTTCAGTAAGGGGATTTAAAATATAAATAAATAAAGAAAAATCAACACCTAATATATATTATCTAGTGAAGTATATTCAGATAAACCCCTATAGCTCATGTTTTTTTGTACTAGGTAATTTGATGCCTCTAGCTTGGTTAATTTTTTTTATTTGTTATATAATAGAAGAATAAGTGAAACAACTTTTGATTTGGTTATAGATTTCAATTTAATTTGGCTTATATCTTTTTATATTGCATTGTTAAACACCACAAGTTCAAATTGTGAATTAACTAAAATTTGATTATATTCTTGTTTGAAACTTCGTTACTCGAGTGAGACTCTAATTGTGAAATTACATTAGCACTACAAATGTAAAATACACGTAAAATGTTCTGAAATTTAATGGATTATACTTTCCAAAACAAACTTCCTTAAATTGTATTGATTTTTTTTTATGTTTAAAAACTAAATGTAAAAAAATTGCAGTTGTCTAGAGGAATGTTTATAAGTGGCTATGTTGTGACTTTGATTCTATATATACTAATAAAAATTGATAAACCAAAAAGAGATGTAAGTTTTGTTTTTATAATTAATCACTTTTTGGTTGTTAATATACAGATCGGGGACTACTAATCCACTAGCCGTAATTTATTAACAATAATAACTTAATTATGTATCATTAAATATACTTTTAGTGACAGTTAACCTCTTTAGAAATATCCCTAAAAAGATTATCGCGACAACGAATCTAATGACAATTAACTAAAGCAGATAATGATTTTACCCCTCTTTGTTAATATATATATTTATGGTAACTTAAAACTAATTTTGTTGTAGACAGGTCTATATAATAATGGTCAATCCTTTAGTTTAATTTAAAAAATAAAATAGAAAAAGATTGGCAAGAAAACATCTTGCACTATTAAAGTAATTCATAAGATAAAATTGGAGGATATAAAATGCATTTTGGCTAATGAAGTTTCCAAGCAAGCTACATGTTATTTTGATAAAATAAATCTGGGACAAGTTCTACTAAAACCAATATGCAACTAGTACTTGTAATGTTTTGTCTAGGCTTGACAATTCTAGTAGATCCTTTAATGATATTCTTAATTATGATTGTGTAATGACTGCATTTAATGTTCTTAGGGAAATATTTTAATTACTATCTTTTAGATACATACAGGATAAAATCCCCTGCTCATATGCAATATAGATTGCAAATCATATAGGATGTAACTCGCACTAGGAAAATTCAGTGAAACGAGTTCGATCCAAAAGACAAAAAGGATTTCGAACATGAGACCTCCGTTATAGAAGTTTCAAACCCAAAAAACTGAATCATTGCGAAGGGTTTTAATGTTCTTCCTAATTCATATTCATTGTTTAGAAACTTGTACTTAATAATAATTGTACTTACTCCTTCCAAGATTTGATGATCAAAGTATAAATTATTTTCACAAAGCAAGTAAGTTGGAAGGGAGTACAAATATACTCAAGTAAGATAGCACATTTAGTAGTTCTTCTAGTTAAAAAAATGCAATATGGTTACTCTCGGAAAGATATTTTGATTAGATTGGTGAGAAAAAGAAAAAATAGTAACATTTTTATGTGTGAAAGTATAGAAGTTTTCGGCCTCTATATCAGTGTAAATGTGCTTCTCACCATGTATTTCTTTTTCAGTGAACTAGTTTGGTGAGGCGAAAATGACTAGAAAAAAACATATATTCTATCGCACAAATTTCTTACTCATTCACGATGGAAAAACCTTCGTTTCTACTATGGTATCTTCTGATGGGGAACTACACAAAGCTAATTGACTATGAAGTCTAATTAATTTTCAACTAATGCACTACACAAGCCTAATTGACTATGAAGTCTAATTAATTTTTCAACTAATTGGATCTTTTATCCAAGCAGTTTATATGATTTGAGTTTTTCATATTTTTTCTAGTCTCAACCTAGAGACATTTTCAAATAAAAAGCCAAGCTGAATTATACTACAAGAAAGAACTGATTCTTTGCTCTGATTATATTATTTTATTAGCCTGGAAAAAAAAAAGTAAAGTAGAGGACTTTCAGATCATCACATGATCAATGTCTTCATGAAATTAAACCACTATAGTTTAGTTAGTCTCTTAATAACCACAAAATTTAAAAAAAAAAACAATGGTATCTAACTATGATAAAGTTCACTTGTTTCTATGAAATGTTTAATTTTCTTTATACATATTAATTTCATATAATACCACTAGATTTAAAACTATTTATATATGTTGGATTGAGAAATTAAAGGAGATGGTGTTGGTCAGCCATTTGAGATAAGGTTGAGAGAACCTAAATTATTATTATTGATATAAGCAACAACTTATTTTAATCCCCACTTTAATAATAACCAAAAGCATAGATTAATTATATATCTTATTATTTCATGAATGAACAAGTTGCTAAAAGGAAATAGTCACACCAGTCTAATTAGTTTGAAAATAAATAAATAAATTAACTCTCAAAAAAACAAGAAAACATTTCTAATTAATAGAAGCACACAACAACAAAGAAGGAATTGAAGAAGGATTTTTTTTTTTCACAAAACTTAAAAATTTCAAAACATGAGTCAAAGTAGCTAGAAAAATTTAAACCAAGCTTAATAATGTACAAATGATAATATTAATCCATTGAGAGAATTTTTTTTTTTCAAGTAAAAAAAAAAAAGTAGAAAATTAATTTCTTAATAAAACCTGACCTAATATTGTGGCCTGTTTGTTGTGTTTCCATTCCAACCTTCACCTCCTCCACTTTCCAATTGTAGTTGACCACCACCATTTGGCATGTTTAATGGCAAATTAAGAAAAGGTAATCCAATATTAGATGGATCAGCAAAATTACCACTTTGTCCTTGTTGCTGCATCTGAATTGACTCATTTTCTTCATCCAAAGGCAATCTCTCATAAGCAACATTAGTAAATGACGAAGCAATAACAATAACCGGTCCTGATGCAATTAGCGCACCCACAACGTTTCCACCAACAACTTGACCTTGACCACCCGCTAAATAAATCGTTAAGCTGGTGGCCCCAGGGGGAGCGGGTGGTGGTAGGAAAGATCCGGATAAAGATAATATCTCGAATCTTCCGTGTAACGTCACCACAGAACCGGCAGCCTGTGGCTGCCGTATGGTGACGTTATTCACCGTACCGCTCCCGCTCAGTATGCAAATTCCTCTTTGTCTTTTTCTAGCATAAGTAGCAACTGATTCAAAGACATCATGTCCGCTACTCACTTCTAAAATATGCGCACGGAGCGCGTTAGCGCTCTCCCGTGTTATGATCACGGGAGGCTTAGGCTTATTTTTGGACCCCGCGGGACGACCTCTAGGTCTACGTGCTACCCCGGGGCTATTATTGTTATTGTTATCGTTGTTGTTGTTGTCATCATCGGAAAATTGAGTGTTGTTGCGATTGATTTCATCGTCTTGAGGATCGTGGAGATGACGAGGGAGAAAACGATGATGAGAAGCGGAACCTAAGTCCAAACCAGCCATAACGATAACGATAACAATAACAAAAGTAGTGAACAGAAAACTAAGGTATAATAAACTATGATATATGATTAATTATAAGGGAAATTAATTAATGAGCATGAGTAAGAAAATAGGTATATATTAAAAAAAAAAACACACAAGAAATTTCAAACCCTAGGAACGAATAGAAAAGTAAAGAGAGAAAACTGAGTGGAGAATACAGAGAAGAAATGGAGATGAAAGAGAAAGTGACAAAGTATAGTACATATTAAGGCCTTAAAATATAGCAAATAGTTTAATGAAAGGGTATTGGGTGGGGGTGGGGGTAGGAATAACGATTAAATAATTAAATATTGTTGCTTTCTATAAGAATATAAAATAATAAAGGAGGAAAAGGAAACAACAAAAGATAGGTTAATTAATTAAGAGAATACATCTTTCATGTGAGAGAAATAAAACATGTCACGATGATATATATTCCCGTATTTTTAATAGAGTTTAATTAAATTTAAATTTTGTATTAAGAAGTCTACGTTGGGAGATAAAGTATGCTTTGATAAAGATTAAAAAAATTCAAATTTAAAATAATTAGTTAAAAAGAATAATTAATTATTCTATCACAATTTTTATTCGATATATCATGATGATAAATCTATTATCTAATGTATGATATACAGAAACCTCTGACTATGAGTTTTTAAAAATACATAGAGTACTTAATAGTGTCCTTTTAAAATTAAAAAAAAAAGTTCATTTTTGCATTTCAACCCTGTGAATGGTCGTGTTTATATTATATATGTAGGCAATCATTCTTCCTATTAAAACTATAAAATTAAGGTAATGGGAGGGAAAAGTTTTGGATTTTCCACTTAGATTGGCTAGGACGATAACGAAATTAATTAAAACAAGAAAATCTACGCTATATATCCTATGAAAAATACTATGTAATAACATAACGTATATAATATTAATTTATTTCTTTCTCTCTTTATTATATATATAATATATTTTTACACACTGTAGTTTATCTTTTCTCTGGTTACAAAGTTTGCTTCAAATATGTTTAGTCATTTAAGAAGTGAACTCCTAGAGTAATTTCTAGAAATTATTTATTATTACTCTTCGTCCATTTTTAATTGTCATATTGCAGTTTTTGAAAGTCAATTTGACTAAATTTTAAAGTTAAATAAGATAATATTAATTTAATATTTTAAACAAAAAATATTTAAATATTCAAGAGATATACGAAAAGCACTATAAGTTGCAAGTTTTAACATATTAAACGATGAAAAATGAATCATAAATGTTAATTAAAGTTTTTATAATTTGACTCTAAAAGAAAAAAATGACAATTAAAAATAAATAATATTGTAGTTTTGAATTGAGTATTTAGTAGAAAACATATTGATAGTTTCTTATTTGATTATTGTGGTTTTTGAGTTGAATATTTTGATTTTGAATTGATTATTGAAGTTTGTATTTATTTGAACGTTGTAGTTTTGATTTGCGTATATAGTAGAATGTTGATTTGTGTTTATATATTAAAATTTGAATACTTCTGATAAAATTTCTTATTTTTCAGTCCTTTCATAATTTATTGGTTAAAAATTTTAGAAAAAAACTTTTCGTAATGAAATAAGTTTCTCTAAAATGAGAAAATGATTCAGTAAGAAAAACAAAATTTATAAAGTAACATTTCATGCTACTTTTCGTAATGAA